TCATTTGGTTACAGTAAATCGCACCCATTGAACTGTAGATATTTGTATTGCAATAAAATTCGTGTACTATACATATTTTATATTTATTAACGGTATCATTCGCAAAGTAATATATTTATTTAACGTGTTGAATTATTTTGATTCGAACTACAGTAGTATATCATAAACAATGTCACGTATAAGAAGACTTTCATTACGGGGTATTCGTAATTTCGGCGATGAAAACGAAGAAGCAATAATTCGATTTTCTCGACCACTGACACTTATTCTTGGTCCAAATGGCACTGGAAAAACAACAATTATCGAAGCACTGAAATATGTCACTTGCGGCGAATTTCCTCCCAATTCAGAGCGTGGAAAATTCTTTATACACGACCCGGCTTTGACAATGACATCCTCGGTAAAATTGTTTGCTATCACGTGTATAGTTTTATTACTATTCATTTCATTAGCATTCTTATTTTTGTACAGGTCCGAGCTGTTATAAAGGCCGAAATAGTGGATAGAAAAGGAAATATAATTACAATATGCAGAACACTAGAATGCTCTAGAATAACTGGGACACAAAAATTAAAGACCCTTGATAATACATTGAGTAGACTGAACAAGGGTACAGACAAGGTCGTATCGATCACCAACAGATGCGTTAATGTCGATACAGAACTTTCATTAATAATGGGTGTGTCCAAACCAATTTTGGATTACGTTATATTTTGCCACCAGGAAGATCTGAGTTGGCCATTTAACGAGGGCAAAAAATTAAAAGAAAAATTTGATGAAATCTTTGACAGCACAAATTACAATAAAGCAATTGAAAGTATCATAAAACTGATGAAAGAATATACTACAAAGTTGAAATTATTACAAGAAGAACAAAATTCATGTCGTATAATCGTTTCTCAAGTAGAAGACAAAGAAAAAACATTGAGAGATCAGAGAAGACGATTGAAGACTGCAATAGAAAAAGTAGAGGAAATTAAAAATGAATTGGAACCTTTAGTTCGGAGAATTAAAAATTCTGAAAAAGTGGCTACTAACTATAAAGAGTTACAAATTCGAGAAAGTAATTCCTTTAAAACATTTATGAAACTTTTTTTTCGATGAAAGCTTATATGTTTATAAATGCAATCTTTTTTCAGAAAGCAAGAAAACAGAGTATAATTTATGTAAACAGCACATAGACAGATTAGAAGAAAATATAGAAGAAGAGTTTGATGGTTCGATGACAGAATTATTTGCTGAGATAGAAACGTTTGATGAAAAATTAAAAGGAAAAGTTGATACCATAAAAGAGGTACAATACTTGTTTCCAGTTAATAAATATCTTCAAACTTTGAATTTGCATTTATTTTTTACATATTTAGTTTCAAACAAGAGTAAAAGAAATTACTGAAGAGGAGACCAAGATATCAAATTTATTAGCCAGAGAAAATGTCACCAGTGGTTCTTTAAAACAACAAGTTAAAGATCAGGAAAGAAAAGTTACTAATCGCAATAAAATATTAAATGAAGCATTAATGGCATGGCAACTGGATACTATAGATTCTAGTGTTTCGGAAATAGGTTCGAATGCTATTACATATTCCAGAACTGAAATGGATATTTTTAAGTTACTATACATTTGAATTGTTTTTAATGTTGTAGAAGTTCTAGCTTTAACCAAAAGATTACGAGAGAAATTCCAAGAGTTAGAACACATTGGAGAGGACAATAGGGCAAGAAGAGCAGGAGAGGAAAAAGAATTACAAAAACAAGTGGACATACTGCGCAATGAATATTCGAAAAGTGAATCCGAAAAAAATATGAAAGAAAGTGAAGTAGTTGCTACGAGAGATGAAATTCATAAAATAAAATTGGAGAAAATACGGGTATATCTCACAACCTGTATCAAATTATTGTTTGATAAGAATGCATATATTAGTATAATACATTTAATTTAATTTTAAGCTTGGAGATGCTGCTAATAACTTAAACACCATAGAATCCAAAATGCAAACGGTAAAAACTAAAATTGAACATTTGAATGAAACATTGAATGTAAATACAGCGAAGGAGGAAGTTACTGGTAAAATAAAATTAAGAGATGAAACCGAAGCGAAGTTGAACGCTGTCGACGAGGAAATAACTTCATTATTAAAACAAAGTTCGTTACAAGCCGAACTGGAATTGCATAATAATTCATTAGTATCGAAGGAAAAGGAATTACAGAAGTTAAAAGATAAATATGAAGAAATTATAAAAAACTTAGTGGATGTCAAAGAACTGACACAAATTAAATTAAAAAATAAAGTAGATACAACTCAAAGAGAATTGGTACTTACAAACTGTTATTAAAATTACACAAACTTCCACAATTTATTTCTATTATTAATAAAATTGATTACATTAATTTTCTAGACAAGCCAAATAGAATCTATTAATCACCAAATTCAAATGGAAGAAATTCGATCTAATACATTACAAACAACAATATCGCATGTTGAGAGTGAGCTTCATAAAAAAAGGAAGGAAATAGAATGTGAGTTAAATGCTATTTTGTAAGTTCGAAATCAATTCATTATCAATGATAAATTTTTCTTTTTCAGCTGACAAAGCACAAGTTTCTTTGTTTTGTAAATATCAAGATTTTGATGAGTCTGTGTTATTGCAATCCAGAAAATTAAAAGATTTACAAGATAAAAGAGGTTTATATGCTCATCAAGGAGTTGCTTATAAGGATTATATAAAACAATTGAAGGAAACAAGTCCTTCTTGCCCTTTATGTCACAGAG